CTCCTAGTAGTAAGGCCAGGAGCCCCTAGTAGCGTCCTTGCTCCTAGAATCTTCCATGAACCCAACAGAAGTTTCAAGCTTTGTCCAAAAGCACCGTGCGAGTCCTGGCCACCCTGCCTGAAAATCTTTGTCGAGGCCTGGGTGGAATAGCAGTCCACTGGACTCACTTGCTTTGGCTAGGAAAAAAGGAGATACAAACAAAGAAGGTGTTTGTGAGCCTTATTAAAGGCGGGCTTACCTTCCTTTCTTACATTATCTTTTTTATAACTTCAGAACTCTGTCATCAGCTGTTGGAAAAATCGATGGCAACAAATGCGAGGTCCTCGCTGAAGATCTGCCAAGGAAATCAGCGGAGCAGCGGGCTTCAAGTCTTGTTCCCTCGCCATCAAAGACTCTTCGCTTTGACATGTCCCCCTTGATCGTGCCTGAATTCTTTTGAAACAAAAAACAAGGAGGAGAGCAAGCTTGTGAGTTTGATTATTTTTATTCAGCGTTTGGGATGGTGCTTGCTCCCTCTCACTACAGTTAGTCAGTTTGGCCTCATCATATATATATATGTATGTGTATACAGCTGGTTATTCTTTGATCAAAAAGGCAAATTCCTAGGCAAATGAGGCTTGTACACCCATGTTTTAGCGTAGAAACACAATTCAGCAACCAGATAGATTAGATCGATTGAAATCAAACACTACTGTATGCTACTTAATGTGCTACTTAATGTGGATTCGCAGACTCGTGTGGTATGCAAGAGGTGTCAGCAGTAGGAATCCCAAACACAATCTCATGGAGCAAGCCAACATCACATTTGGAAGGGTTCGATGACTTTCAGAATGGAGCAAATACACGGCTTCTCAAGCTTGCAATGCAACTAGACCGAAGGGATGCTGTCAAGAAAAATGTAGTTTCTCGGAACATCAGAGCAAACTCCTGGAGACATGGGGCCCCGGCTCAATTTCATACTCAGCACCTCATAAGCATTGGGATAAAACAGATTGGAGCCTATGCCGGAAAACAGTGTGGTGCTTGATGCATTGAGGCTGCAACCGTCCTCCCAAATAATCGTGTACGTACCGGATTCATTGATACATTTTACTCGGGCCTCACACAGCTTGCAAATGCAAGAACACAACAACAATGTGCAAGAAAAGGGAAGGCCATGGGATGCCCTTCTGATGTAGGAACATCAGAGACTGTTGCTGGTTCCTGTCCGAATTCTGCATTCAAAAGGCTTGGAAGACCATCCTGACTGAGCAGCATGCTGGATACCATACGTTGTCTTCATGATAGAGCCCCTCAACTTTGTTGCCTGCCTGGGCAATGGTGTGCCATGGTGTGTTGCATCAAATTGCGATACTGCACTTCAAGTGCATACCATTTCTGTGTGTGTGCCTGTTCTCCAAATCCAAGATGCGCACACTGAAGCCAAAGTCTCTCTCTGCGCGTTTGAGAAGCCTTGGTGGACTTACAACTAGGGCACATTTTGTCTGCACACACTGCATATATATATAATATATAGATAGAGAGAGCGAGAGATAAATATTGGCAAACTTTGCCACCTGCCCTAAAGGTACAGAACAGGACGCCCTCAGCGTGCGCATATTGCGCATGTTCTACCTAATTGTATTTTACTACTATCTTGTACTACTCTCATTATTGTCTTAATACATCTTAATACTATATAGTTTGGTAATGTTTGGTATGTTTTGGTTGTTACTTGCTTGTGCTAAGAATTCAGGGTTTTGTTTTTTTGTGTTTTCTATAGTGAATAGTGTCTGTTGAAAAGGTGCACGCTCACAGCGTCCCGCTCTCGAAAAGTAAAACGAGATTTCTACTGAAATTCTTGGACCAAAACCTCATGTTCTCAGCCTTCTGGGTGTGCTCGAAGCCATCCTGTGAATGTCGCGTGACAACAATATACAACAATTGCAGTACCAGAAGAAACCTGTTCAGCCTCCGTCCATGAGATTAAGTAGGTCTCATCCCCATTGTCGCATTGTACCAACGCCTGACTCTTGTCAAAATATCAAGGATGGCTGTGACACTGCAGGAAATTCTTCGATGTGAAGGAATAGTCTGCAGAACAGCCTCTGTGACATATTCATTACATTTGTTGCGTGTGCGCGTGTGCCCACACACACAAACGTAGAGCATCACACAGCTACTTCGTCTTTTGGCCTCATACTCCTCTTCCTCTTCCTCGAAGAGTGCCATGACCTTCCAATGAGAAGGCATACTGCGAGCAGTGGACACAAGCAAAGCAGTCTGTCATAGCATCCATACCAGTACAAACCTTGTGTTGAGACCTTCATGCAAACCAATGTTGCCCTTTATAGTCGGATTCATATGCGAGAACAAAAAGTGTAATACCATGTAATACCCCAAATGCTACTAGGCTAGGCTAGACATCAGGAAAATAACTTGCTTCGACTGCTTCGACTTGTCTCAGTTCACAATGTCTGCAGGCCTTGTCACCGACAGAGAACCCAGCAGCCGCTGCTGCGTCTTTGGGGTTCACCTGCGAATCGCCATGATGGTGCCCATTGACATGTTGCATCAAATGCTGCAAGTGTCTAATGCAGCAGCAAAATGAAGGCTTGCGAACAGCCGCTATCAAAGCTTCTTGCCTCTGAGGCAGCGTCTTCCAGTCGAGCCTCTTCAGTTCTGCTGATTTGTGGATGTCATGTGATCAATCAATGCTCATGTCAATGCCGTCTGTTAAGGTTTGGACGACCAAGTCTGCTTTGCGCCCTAATTTGCTTAGGCCGAGCTCAGAACATTTTGCCTGCGGAGCCGTTGCTCAGATTTGTTCAGTGCTAAAATGACACGGACATTGACTCTGCTGCGGGTCCTTGAGCTGGGCAACAGTCAAACGTGAGTAGCCTGTCCAACTGCGAATACATGCATCCCTTTGCATTCCTGCTGCATATCCATAGAAAAATACCAAGGTGAAGTCGTTTTTAAAATATATACGTATTTTAGAATCTTTCCTAAGCAGGATTGACCAGGATTCTTGCATAGAATGACCGAGCCCTCTTGAGGCTTGGCCACCAAGCTTCCGCCAAGGAATGATAGGATGAAATTTGGAAGATGATGAAATCAACGTCCCTAAGAAAGGAGCGCACAAAAGGATACAACAGGTACAAACGATGCCTTTCCAAGGCGTAAAAGCGTCGTTACGGTCTGCCTCCGCTCAACCCTTCGGACTCGGCCTCAGCACAGGCTTGGGAAGAGTCCAACAAATATGCACTTGGCAAGCAAATCTATATACTTTCAAGAAAACAATAGCGATGCCTATTGATGCTACTGTGACCTCCACTCTAATAAGTGTTCTTTCCCAAATGTGCAATATGCAGTGCCAACGGGGGGGGGTAGCCCCGCCGGCAACATATATCCGATCCGTTGACTGGTCTTTCAGGGGGGGGGGGGGGGGGCTTGGGGTCAGCTTCGTCCGTGTTACTAATTACTCGCGTACATCGACTTTGACGTTGACTTGTCGACTCGGTGACCTTTCGTTCGCTCGGTGACCGCTTTTCTTGGCTTAGAGGACGACGTTCGAGGTTTGTTCTAACACTGCGTAGAATGGGTTTTCTTGGCCGTTGCGATGCAAAGCTGCAACGACAGCACGTTGAAGGCCTCGCAGCGTTGTGGTTCCGCCAACATCCAGGGTTCGACTCAGTGCTCGAGGCTGTCAGAATACATAGAGAAGCTGTGCAAGAGCTCAAATGTACAGTGAGCTCAAATGGCTCAATTGGGAACAAGACTTATGTCTGGCGGCTGAAAAATGAGCCTTGGCAAGCTGTACATGGAGCAGGCAGGTGAGTTGGGTCCGTCAAAACGCATTCAACTTACCGTCTTGCAACTCATGAGTTGCAAGACGATAAGTTGAGTGTCCGGAAAGCCACGAAGCCCTGTAAAACACAGGGTTTTTCACCCTCGGTGTGTTGCGTTCGGGGCTAACCCCCCCGTTTACCCAATATGCAGTATGAGTACTAGTAGTATGCACCTTTGTTTTCAACCATTCAATGCAGAACATCTTTGAAGATCCCGGCCTCTTGAAGCCTCTTCACGAGAACGGCCTTGAGCCCAGAAGTTGGAAGACCTAATGCTATGTAGCGCCAGTGGCACAAGCTGCTACTGTAATTCTTTGGCTTTCAGCGCCTTGAGCCATTCTGAGGCACAAGAGCTTACATATAACTGAGTACCTGACCTTTCTCTCTGAGCTTCTCCTTATCATATGATCTTACAGGTGTCTGTCATGCAGATCCTGTAACGTTTGTTCCGGCCGAATTGATAGGAACAGTTCCTTGCTATTCCTTTGTGTAAGTCGTGATAGCTGCCTTCAGCGTTGCCACAGTCATAGACGAAGCACCTCACACCGGTGAATACAATTCCTCTGCTCAGTTCAAGTGGAGGCGAAGGACTTGGGCTGCGGCTTCTCACGCCCAGCGCAAAAGAGACCTGACTTTGAGGATCTTTGAGGCTTCTATTTCTGTGGCTTCTATTCATCATATTTGAGACAGGCAAGAAACTGCAAGTAGTAGTATAAGTATAGTCTTTGAACATGTTGACTTCCACATATCCGAGTACTGAACTGCTGCAACTTGCGCTGCAACAATGGCAGCTGTTACAACGCATCCTAAGAGTCGCCGCGCCTGAAGCAAACATGATACACCAACACACCTTCGATTCAGCAGAGATCGTGCTTATCGAGTCATACGGTATCAACTCACGATTCATACAGAAGTGTTGCAAATCGTGTTGCAGGCCGCACAATCGGATGAGTTATGAATTGACTTCTTTGAGCTTCTTCGGCCTGCCTTTGCATGACACCTGGAAGCTACCATAGCAGCCATTCCTTCAGGCAGTTGACTGTTTCGGACAGGATCATTTTAGATTCCCCTCAAAAGAACTCAAACGATTGTGATTGAACTCTTGTGTACTCAAACTGGATGGTTGTCCGTTCGCTGGGTTTACCGTAAGCAGCATTGAAAGCGGGAAGCGAGGGTCCAGCCAGCCAGAAACGTTTGCAGCACACAGCTACTTCAAAGCCGACTGCCGAAGCCCGGCTCAGAACGCTTCTATCGAGAGCCAGGTCCAAAAGCGCATGTAGTATCACAGGTCAGGTGCTGGCATTCACACACCATGTCATGTGCAGCTGAGTGTCGTAATAAATTTAGAATATAATTGTATTCGTGAGTCTGTTGTCTACAGCTCCGATCCCTCGCCCATTTTGATTATTTCAAACGCAAAGGTTGAGAGGTCATCTGGAAGTGAGAGGTCCTCTTTGACCTTGCTTGAAGACCCTAATAATACACATCGTGGCGCCACACAAAGGCTTTCAACAGAGATGACATCACAAGCTGTTCAGATTGTTTAAGTTTAATGATTTGCTTACCACAACTTGCTGACTTCTGTGCCTGCATATGTGTACATGTGTATGGCAACCAAGATGACAGCCCTCTCTATGGGTTTCTTTTCCACCTTGGGAAAGGCCCTGAATCGCAGAGGAAAGCAACCGCTCTGATTGGAGCGAATGGGAAGTTGCAGCACCCTCTGTGAATCTACATGAGACGCGTCACTATCTATCTTATCATATTATCTATCTTATCGACTTGCCTGCAGCTGATTTGGTACGATGTGATGAGATATTTATATCAATCATGTGCTCATCGCAGGCAACTTCTTCTGAGGACTAGGTCACTGCAGAGCGCAGCAAGCCAAGTACGTCAGATCCACAAATTTTGTGAAACAGTGAGACGACTGAGAGACAAAGCGCTAACATGCGCTAACCCAATTAAAACTTCTCGCTAGTATGAAAGCTCTGAAGGTCTCAGCTGCGAATCTTTCCAGGGACCCACAAAAGCTTCCATACTAGTGGGAGTTCTGAACATTTCGAGCAGTCACATCATGATATCATTCTTGCAATGTCCGAGGATTTTAGTTTTTGATGAGAAGAATCGTCAAACTGCTGTTTAATGCGCAAACAAGCTATCACTCAACTCTACACATTGAACAAAATTTCACAAATTGAGCTTCTGAACTTCTCGTTGCTCTTTCAGACCCCTAGGATCTCTAAGCGCAGTCAGTGCTTTTGGCGTTCGCTAGCCTCGAGCCAAGGGACCAGGTCCCGGACCTGCTATTGAAGGAAACGCAAACAATTCTCAGCGTGAATTCTGAACATGTCTCGCCTGTTTATGACTTCTACGAGGGAACTTGTATGAACTGTGTAATGTTTTCTACAACACGAAGGGTAGCTTTGAGCCTGTCGATTCTTGAAGCCTATTGTCTATGCTCGATCTGTCTCGACAAAGCAGCCAGTCGCTCTCTGCCTCCCATAGCAACGTTTGGGTACATCTCCCGCAGCATGGCGCTTTGGGCCTTTGAACATTCGAACATTGGCCTTTGCAAGAATATTGGTTCAGATGAACTTTAACTTGGAAAGCCGGCCTGAATGGAGGGATTAATGCCTGGCAAGGAAAGCAGCTCTGCTGAGATCTGCCGAAGGCTTTCAGCTCCGCTCAGCTCTGCTTTTGCTTTATCTAGCTCCTACTTAATTAATTAGGCGCCTACTTAAGTAATCTTAAATAGACAAGTAACGGAGTACTTTGCTACTAGGTATTAGTTAGCTTCTAGCAACTGGATGCAGGATAGATCACGCTTCTTCAAGGAAGCTACCCCTGCCTGAGGGCGGGGAGGAGCTTCCTTGAAGAGAAGCGCTCGCACTAATGATTTGGTTCCTAGATTTTTGTGGAAACTTACGAATCTGCAAGTATTTCAAATACCAGTAGGACTCACGGCAGCAAATCAAGGCTGGTGAGACCGATTGGTACCTGCCCAGGCCCTTTGGAGCTAGAACGCCGGGACCTTGAGTCAGCTGAATAGAACTACGAATTGTCAATGTGAATGCGAACTGTCATCGGACTGCAGTCAACTTCCGATGGGCTAAGTCATACTTCTTGCAAAGTCCTATGATTCCAGATTTCCTCGAGTCAAGGTGATGAAGCTGAGGCGAATGCCCCTTGTGGAATGGATGCCCACCACCTGGTTTAGAAAGCGCATACGGGCATGTATTAGCTATACTTTGCACATAAATCCTTTGCGCATCTCTTGCAATTGCTGGCTGATCCGGGCTTGCTTGTTGGCTTGCCTCCCTCTCCAAGACCAAGTGGTTCCCAATTGGCCTACCACACGGTTGCTGAATAAATTGTGACGTGAACCCAAACACACTTCATTGCTAAAACGGTTGCTTCCTTGGAAGGACAGGTCTAAGCGTGGGCATTACTCATGCAAAGAAAAGTCCTTTGCCCGAAACAAACATGGCCTAGTCTTGTGTTGCGATATCTATCCGGTCGAGCATTCCAAGTTAATTACATGAAATTACACAACACGCAGCGCTTTTCGCGAAGATTTTGAGGAGGTGTAGTAGTGCTGATAAAAGCTTGTGAGGAGTAATGATTGCAAGTAGGGCCATCCTTCTGGCCCGACCTGGACATTCAGCCCTCCGCGGCTGATCAGTGGAGGGGAGGCCTGAAGAGATGGGAGCAAAATGTGGCATTTGTTACTACTAGTAAGGCACTTGTTACTACTAGCGTGGCACTTGTTACTGTCAAGTGTTATAAGTTTCTAAAATTTCGCCACTGGGTCACCGGCAAGCATTCGACCATCCCAACCTGCCAAAACAGGAAAATGAGTGAAAGTTCCAGTTCCACTCATCTGAAAGGTCCTGAATCCAAGATCCGAACTTGGGTCAAAGTGATTCAGAATGACTGCAACAGCAAAACTAGACACGACTGGGTGGCTGGCCAGCTCCACCTGTTCGGAATGAGCACAAGTTGTGGACGAGTTATATGGAAACTGCTTGCAGCGTCTCTTTGTGTGGGGAATTTGTGCGATTTAGCCACTTAGCACTCACATGCGCTTGGCAAGCTTACCAAAACATACAGCACAATGCAAAACAGCATCATATAGCATGCATGACTGGAGCCCAACTGTACTCAACAAGAATTGGCACGGGAGCTACAAGATGCTGCAAGTAGTTGATAGTAATTGTGTAAGTCTACTGTTCCAAGTCGTGGACATGGTACCCTGCCAAACGCTACATCACATCACCAGTGTCTCTGGACTCATGCAAGTTTCGTTCCTCTGTCCGTTGGCACCAACCAATGAGCCTCCGTAGGAATCTCGGCGATAGGATCTGGAGGAACGCCTCGAGAAACCAGTCACACGAGATGCGATTTGCTGCAGATGCGGAGACTTGGTTAGATCTTTTATTCTTGTCCATTTGCTTTAGGCCATTAGACCTATCTTTTTCCTTCCCTCATTTCCTTTCACTGGTGCCTAACTGCAATCCCACGAGCTGGAGATGCAAAGGGACTTTCTTCCACCTAGGGATGTGATATGACGCCATGATACGTCATGTAGCGCCATGCACACCGTTGAACACTGCTCAAAGCGTTCTGAAGCTACTCAGTTGCTCCCACCGCCAACGTCAAAGTGTGTCTTTATGTCTATGAGGTATCCACCAATGCGGCCATAGGTGGTCTGGCTACTCGACCTCGAACCCACAAATCTCCCATGGCTATGAGCAAGGATAGGTTGTTTGGAAGAACATGCAGGAGTCTCAGAAGCTACGGAGTTGGTGACATAGAATGTGGCGGAGAAAGACACATCTTGCAACGAAGCAAATCGTTGGAGTCTCTCAGTGGACTCTCACAGCCATACACAACAAACTTGTTCTTTTCATTTGGTCTAACCACTAAGGGGTCGCACTTGGATGCACAGCTGCAGGAGCTGCTGACACCTCATGATATGTAGCTGCCAAGAAACCATAATAGCTCCATGTCCATGCATGTCCAGGAAAGTGTCAGTATGTTACTGATGTAGGACCTTACAGTATTGTCAGGATCGCAACAGTTCTCGTGCATTCAATCAGACTTGACATGTTCAAGGACAAGCTGTCAATCCATGTATAAATATATATATATATATAACTAACTATATTTTTTATGTGTGTGTATAATGTAATGGCACAATAATTCAATGTATCCTGACCACCCTCGGGTTTCAACAGAGCTGGGATTGTAGGACACGGCATGTGCCTGGCTCAAAGAGCAAAGGCTTAGGTGCTGCAGATCTTCGGGCAAACCGTGCAAAATAACCAACAGGACCCTGCTCTGTGGTTCAGGTGGACGATATTCCAAAAAAGTGGGATTACGGTTACGGAAGTGTTTCTGCAACGAACCGCGGATTGATCTCGCCAGCCAAAGACAAAGCCTCTGGAATTTCAGAAGCTGCAATCATCCTGGGCAAGATGGGAGCTTGATGAATGACAGCTATTGTCTTGTCATGCTGCCAGTCCTCGACTGCCCCTGGAGAAGCTCAGACAACGAATCAGCAGGCCACACGTTAGAGCCACCTCAACTACAACCAGCAAAATCCTCGCGTCTTTTTTCGCATCGGTGTGTTAGTTTCTCTGCTTGCTCAGGCCTGATGCACTTGGTTGGGCGACTTCGGGCGATTTCTCACCCCAAGTGTGCATGTCCTGCAGGTTCATTCAAGAAATACAACACAAATTTGATAAATTGATCAACTTTAGTGAAAAAATGTCTAGCGCTAAATTAGATTAGATCAGCTTTTCACTTTGCGTTGTGCAACTGGTATCCGCTTGAACAACTATGAATTATGAAGGTCCGAGGCTGCAGCAGCTGCTGGAGTGCCTGGCACTGTGGGTCGGTCCACTGCTGCAACCGTTGTCCCACTCTGGGGTTCATTCGATTGTATGCGTGCGAAACAGATTATATATACTAGGAGCAAGAACGCTACTAGGAGCAAAGGGCATCCCTACTAGG